TCGTGAATTTTGTGGTATTTATTCCTTTCCTTCCCACTGTTGGAATTAGCCCATAAGCTTAACTTTTTTTCAGAAAAACAGAGAAATAAAAATCAAAACCAACTCACAACTGCCCCAATAAATCCAGTTTTCTGGTGGTCACTTTTCCTGGATGTGGCTCCATCCCACAGAGTGGCTGTAATCAGCACAAAGCTCCTGGCTCCAGTTCCATCAATAGTTACCTCTAAGCAGATGCATCTTTTTAAGTGTGCTTAGTAGTTCATTTTGATTACAGCCTGTCCTGGTGATGTTCCTTTCAGTGTCTAAAGGGGTTTTAAGAAAGAAAGGGACAGGCTCTTTATCAGGGTCTGTTGTAAACAGGACAAGGAGAAATAGTGTCAAACTAAAAGGAAGGAGATTTAGACTGGAGATAAGGAAAAAGCTTTTTATGATAAGACACTGGCATGGGTTGCTCAGAGAGGTGGTGGATGCCCCATCCCTGGAGACACTCAAGGTCAGGCTGGACTGGGCTCTGAGCACCTGACTTAGGGATAGGGAACTATTCCTGAGGCTCCGGGAGAAAAAGAGAATCTACCGCCTGTGGAAAGAGGGACAGGCCACTCAAAATGAATACAAGGAAGTTGTTAGGATGTGTAGAGGTGAAATCAGAAAGGCAAAAGCCCAGCTTGAATTTAACCTAGCCACTGGCGTGAAAAGGAATAAAAAACTCTTTTATAAATACATTAACAGTAAGAGGAGGACAAAGGAGAATATCCACTCTTTGCTGGATGAGGCTGGGAATGTGACTACTGAGGATAAGGAAAAGGCAGAGGTTCTGAATGCCTTCTTTACGTCTGTCTTTAAAAGTCAGACCAGTTATCCTCAGGATACTCCTCTCTCTGACCTGGTAATCTCGGCTGGGGAGCACACTAACCCCCCTGTGATTCTGGAGGAAACAGTCAGAGACCTACTGCTCCAACTGGACTGCCACAAGTCGATGGGGCCAGATGAGATCCACCCGAGAGTGCTGAGGGAACTGGCGGAGGTGACCGAGCCGCTTTCCATCATCTGTCAACGCTCCTTGTTGACTGGTGAGGTCCCAGATGACTGGAGGCTTGCCAATGTGACTCCCATTTATAAGAAAGGTCGTAAGGAGGATCCGGGGAACTACAGGCCTGTTAGCCTGACCTCGGTGCCAGGGAAGGTTATGGAGCAGATCGTCTTGAGGGAGATCATGCGGCATGTGCAGGGTGACCGGGGGATCAGGCCTAGCCAGCATGGGTTCATGAAGGGCAGGTCCTGCTTGACCAACCTGATCTCCTTCTATGATCTAGTGACCCATCTGGTGGATGAGGGAAAGGCTGTTGATGTGGTCTACCTAGACTTCAGCAAAGCCTTTGACACTGTCTCCCACAGCATTCTCCTGCAGAAGCTGGCATCCAGAGGCTTGGATGGATACACTCTTGGCTGGGTAAGGAGCTGGTTGGAGGGCCGGGCACAGAGAGTGGTGGTAAATGGAGTCAAATCCAGCTGGCGACCGGTTGTGAGTGGTGTTCCCCAGGGGTCGGTGCTGGGGCCTGTCCTCTTCAATATCTTTATTGATGACCTCGATGAGGGCATCGAGTGCACCCTCACTAAGTTTGCAGATGACACCAAATTGGCTGGAAGTGTGGATCTGCCTGGGGGTAGCGAGGCCCTACAGAGGGATCTGGACAGGCTGGAGAGCTGGGCTGAAGCCAATGGGATGAGTTTCAACAAGGCCAAATGCCGGGTCCTGCACTTCGGCCACAACAACCCCAGGCGACGCTACAGGCTTGGGGCGGTGTGGCTGGAGGACTGCATAGAGGAAATGGACCTGGGGGTATTGATTGATGCTCGGCTGAATATGAGCCGACAGTGTGCCCAGGTGGCCAAGAAGGCCAATGGCATCCTGGCTTGCATCAGAAACAGTGTTGCAAGCAGGAGCAGAGAGGTGATTGTTCCCTTGTATTCAGCACTGGTGAGGCCGCACCTCGAGTCCTGTGTCCAGTTTTGGGCCCCTCACTGCAAGAAAGATATTGAGGCCCTGGAACGTGTTCAAAGGAGGGCAACAAGGCTGGTGAGGGGTCTGGAACACAGGCCATATGAGGAGAGGCTGAAGGAGCTGGGAATGTTCAGCCTGGAGAAGAGGAGGCTCAGGGGAGACCTCATTGCTCTCTATAACTTCCTGAAGGGAGGTTGTAGTGAGCTGGGGGTCGGCCTCTTCTCTCGTGTCATTAGCGATAGGACCAGGGGGAATGGCTTCAAGCTACGGCAGGGGAGATTCAGGCTGGACATGAGGAAGTATTACTTTTCAGAAAGGGTGGTCAGGCACTGGAACGGACTGCCCAGGGAGGTGGTGGAGTCACCGAGCCTGGGGGTGTTCAAGGAAAGGCTGGATGTTGTGTTGAGGGACATGGTTTAGTAGGAGCTATTGGGAATAGGTGAACGGTTGGACTGGGTGATCTTTTAGGTCTTTTCCAACCTTGGTGATTCTATGATTCTATGATTCTATGACTTGGCTGTACTGTCCGTGTTCATAGCAAGGGAGTTGGACTGGATGACCTTTAAAGGTCCTTTCCAACTGAACAGTTCTGTGATTCTATGTTTTAGCTTTCGTGAGTATCACTGTTCTGACCATTAAAATTCCAGGTTTCTGCCCTGTGATAGATGGCCACAAGGTGACCCAAACTTTCTGCACTGTAAAGACCATTTGCAGCTCCTGTGTGCTCCCAAAGGTTTGGTTAGGACTTGCACTTTCAGGACTTTTCCCCCACACAGAGCAAGGATGAGGCAAAGCAACTACCCAATGCATGCCAGAGAAGGTTTGGATTTATCTGGGCATTTGTGAGTTGTTCATAACCTGAATGTCCTCAGTGCAAAGGAGCTTTCCCCTTGTCCCTGCCCTGGCTCCAGACCTCCGGCTCCTGTGTTTTTTGGGGATGCTGAGGAGGCCTGCCTTGTTTTCAACTTGCACAGGTAAAACCTGGCTCTTCACTGATCCCTTTGTTAAAGGAACCGAATTGAGCTCTGCAAAGCAGCAGTCTGCTTAGCTGCAGAGTTCAACACAAACAGAAAGAGGGCCCCAGTCCAGAGGACAATATTTTGCAGATGGAGCTAAAATTAGGATCTGGCCCTGGGAGTGCTTTAGCAGACATCTGGATATGATGCACAGCAGCAATGCGTCTGTGGATCAGCAGCATAATTGCAGTAAATAATTCAAGAAACAGCAAATGATGCTAAAAGTGAACCCTGCAGCTTTGCTGAACAGTTGATCATGCCTCTGCCTGCCAGGGTGGGCAGCACAGTGGGGCTGACAGTGATCCAGTGGATTGTGGGCAGATGGACGGCCTTCACCACCCCAGCTCTGGTCTGTAACTGTGCTGGGATTGCACTTTTCAGGTCCCAGCTGGGATCTTGGTCTGCCTGAAAACCCCTCATTTTTTTTTTCCAAGCTGAGGAACATACAGAAGTACAGAGTTGCTCCTGCATCACCTCTACTTCTGCCCCTTCTTGATCATGGAGTCATAGAATCATTAAGGTTGGAAAAGACTTCTAAATCACCAAATCCAACTCAGCCCATCCCCATTGTGCCCAGTAACCACGTCCCTCTGTGCCACACCTCCACTTTTCTTGAATACCTCCTGGGTCAGTGACTCCCCCATCTCTCTGAGCAGCTCTGCCTGCGCCTCACCACTCTTCCAGAGAAGAAATTCTTCCAAACACCCAACATGAACCTCTCCTGGTGCAACTTGAATCAATTACCTATTATCCTATCACCCTTATCTGGGAGAAGAGGGTGCTGCACTGGGACCCAGCAAATTGCAAGTTTTAGCCCTGCTGAGTTGCGCGATCTTGGCAGATCCCCCTCACCTTTCCCTTTAGATGAAGTGTGTCTCATTTTTAGAAGATATCAGTTATGTGGCTGGAGCTCCAGGTGTGAAGGTGACAAAAGTGGCAGCAGTGGTAATTATCCTGAGGAGGAGGTTGGGAGTAAGAGGGCTTCACTGCCTTATAGAACTGAATTGTCTGGGATTAAGAAGTGAATTTAAGTAGTGTATTAAGCACTGTCCTTACTTCTCTTCTACATGAAATGGGTGGATGTTTTGAATAGCCAACTTCAAGATCCTGGGGAGAAGCTGGATAGGAATTTCCCATACATCCATTACTTTTTTCTCAGGCAATCAAGACCTTGGCCGGGAAAATATGCAATAACTCATAGACACAAGGTATAAATGCAAAGGGAGTGGAGAGCAGAATTTCTCTCTGTGCAGATGACACTCTGCTATACATCACAAACTGGCATGTCAGCATGAGAAGCCACTGAGCTGGTAGAGAAAAGCGGCTTTGCTGCTGGTTACAAAATAAGTCCTAACACAAGGCTTCAGGGAAGAGACTCCTTCCGAGGGGAATGCAAGACCTTCAGTCATGCAAATGGCTCCTACTTGCTTGGAATTCAAACAAGCCAAAAGTTCTTTATTAGTTTAAATGAGGTCTTGGAGACCCTCTTCCATTTCCTACAGAGCACAGCAGACCGTGAGCAGAATGCACCACCTCAGGCTCTATCCTTTTTTAACAATTATCAGATTAACATAAAATCATTTGTCCCACTTCTGCATTGCAATCTCAGTCTCATAAAAGTCTGTAACTGCGGTTGTTCCTTAGAGCATTCAAAATTCTGACTCATTTGAATTACACTTTTGCAGATTCCAGATACTTAAGACGGGCAAAACCAAATCTTCTCCCTCTTCTCCCTACCGTCCTCACAGTGCAGAAGATTAAAAATCTGTATGCAAAATGCAATGGGTGAGGCACAATCATAGTGAAGCGTAATTATATCCAGGATAATAAAGATATGCACAGCATTGCTCCTTGATCTGGTGCCTCCCTTTTGTGAAGCTCTGAGTCCTGCTGGTCTCACTTTCTTCAGTGCTTTTTTTTTTTTTTTTTTTTTTTTTTTTTTTATTTTTAATTATTATTATTGCTGGTGCTGTTGGCAATGATAATGTGGAAGAAAGGTTGGGTTTTACTTTGCAGCCCTTGTTATCTCCTGGCACATCATCAGCTCATCTGCTCTGGGCAATGCCCAAGTTCATGAAAAAGGAAAGCAAGGTGCTCTCTTGGATCTCTGGTTGAATTTGTTATGATTTGCTCCTGTAAACATCGTATTTGTCTTGTAATAGGATGCAACTTTATCCTCAAGCCATTTACAGACAGATCAGACAACGTTTTCTTAGAAAAATAACCCACAGCACATATATGTGACACCTCTGATATTGTTACTACTGGGCATAACCTTTCTCCTCAAACAGTGCTCATTCCAGCAACTGTGATCTTCTCCTGAAACCCTACCCTTGTTATGACACTTCCTCCAAGAACACGCAGAGGAAATGCAGTGGCAATTTCAGCAAACGAATCACAGAGGAGCAGCGGACAGAAATATTACTGATCAATGGCAAAAAAGATTAAAGGTAGTACCATCTTTATGGCACTCTGCCGAGCAATGAGTGAAGAAGATCAAAGGGATTATCAAGTGCAAAGAGAGAGCTTGTGGCTATTAAGCTGCTAAAAAAAAAAAAGTCCTGTGGGAAATAGGAACAAAACTCTTAGCAAAAGATAAGAATTGGATTTTCTTGTTTCACAAAAGTGAAGATGTTGGAGGGATAGGTATCAGGAACCACACAGCCTTCTAACAATGATGTGAGGGCAGGGAGCTGGCCCTTAAGGAGCGAAGAGAAAGAGATGTGAATCACAGAGGATATGTCAAGGAGAACGGGTGGAAGAACTGCAGGCACCAGGATGGGAAGGTCTCAGTGAGGAGCACAGTTCAGGCATGCAGAGGAGGAGGAGTGCAACTGAGATGCAGACAGATTTCAGTGCTTAAATTGTATTTTGCACAGTTAGATCTGACCTGACTAAGAAAGGCCATTACAGTCTCTATGTATGTTTAAGGTCTTTTTGCTGAAGAGGATTTAGCAGGTTTAAAGTTCAATGTATTTTAAATGTTTTTGTGGAAGAATAAAGGGTGAGCTGGATTAGGAATCTTCTTACACTCTTTTACAACATTTATAATTAACTCTAAGGTTTTTTGTTTTTTGGGTTTTTTTTTTTGCTACTCCTACTTTAATCTCCTAATTAATTAATGGCTCAATAAATCACAAGATCTTTTGTCCACAAACCTACACTTACTGTCAGAAATATTGCACTCTAAAACTGGAAGTAGACTACTGGCCACTTTTATCATCCTGCTCTGACTTTTTTTTTTAATTTATACTTAATTTGAAAATGTATTGGATATAGTGCCATTTAAAACCTCCGTGCAAACCCTCCTTGGCACTGAAGAGCTCTGGCTGGGATGGTTTGGCATTCCCAGCAGCAGCACAGCAGTACCTATGGCAGATCCCATTCCTGGGATCTGGGACTGGGAGGCCCTGGGAGGACATTCCCACAGCACATGGCTATGTGGGGACTGTTGGGCTGCATTCAGAGCAGAAATGCAAGAAAAAATCCTTGGAAAAATACAAGCATTGCCATAGAGCTTTGCTACACCCCATTGGATAGAGTTGGCCATTTGATGCACCATCATCAACAAAACATTTAGAAGGACATTCCTAGACAGTGTGTCTCAGCCATCATCTCCCTAGTGCAGTGTGTTGCTGGAGGAAGAGCTTGCTCCTATGGAACATGGGCAGAGGTGCAGGAGACTGGGCTTTGCCCTTGTACCATCTCATCTGTCACCTCATTCTCCTTGGCTTTTCATCTCTTGCTCAGGTGCACAGAAAGCTCTTTCAGGCCAGGACCACCTCTTTCTCTGTGCTTGCAAACCTCAGCTTACTGTAACACAAAATAAAGGAGCAATAGTATTTCCCATGGAGCAGCAGAGGCTGACAGTGACCCGGACTTTGGCATTCATTAGGTGGACTTGAAGTGGCACTTTCCTCCTGTCACCACCTCCAGTCTGTTTTCTTCCTCCCTAGCAACATAATAAATATTTACAATTCTGTGTTCCCTGGGCTTGACACATAAACACCTCTCACTGTTCTGTCCAGAGGGAATTGAGGATTCTTATCTTCATTTTCTGAGTGTGGATGTGAAAGCAAAGACAGGTAGGGCAAGACTTTGCTGCTAAAAGCATGCATCCTGCATTAATCTTGGCAATGTCTGTGACTTGGCAACCCAGTGGCATATCAGGACATGTAAAGCAGCCCAGCATTTAGTGGTCAACATGAGGGCCAACCTGCTTGCAACCCTTACTCCTGCATTTCTGCACAGGGAACCACAGCACAGGGCAAAGCTCAGTGGTTTGCCTCTGACAAACCAGTAACTGCTATCAGACCATGAGGATGATGGGGAAGAACAGCTTCTTGGAGATGGGCTACAGCAGTACACATCTGGAGGGCTCACAGCATCACCTGGTGCTGGCTGCTGCTGGAGCAGGCAATGGATGGGATGGACCCCACAGCTGTCCCCACGTGGTGGTTTCTTACATTTTACCATCTAGAAAAAGAGAAATCTTTATTATGAATGGTGTAGACTGGGTTTTCTATCACAGCTCTGAAAGCTGCAGCTGCTGCTGTTGGCTGTTCCTCCTGGGGAAGGCTGTTACAGTGCCCATGGAGATGGGAGGGTGTGCAAGGCAAGGCAGAAAACCCGTTTTTGTTGTGCAAAATAAAATGCCTCTCAGAAAAGTTGCTGTGTTGAGAAAATGTTAGCACTGCATTTAAGACAGCCCCTAAATGTCAAGGGAGCATCAATCATTCCGTTTATTTACACTAGTAAAAGACACAGCCTCCTATATAAGTGCTGATAAAAAAAAAAAACACAAGATGTGCAACTACTTTTCTGTGAATTCTTACTTATACCAGAAATATTTCAACTGAAGCTCATCAGCTGAATATAAACAGTGTTGTAGCTGCACACATAGGCGTGAAAAGGAAAGAATTCCTATTATCAAATAATCCGTAGCTCTGAAGACTACAGTTCCCTGCACCAGCACATTTCTAACCAGCACATTTCTAACTGTTCCTAGTGACTGATGTGTGCAACAGTTTTGGGAAGAGGGTGAGTTCCTAATGGAGGATGTAAGGTATTCATCAGATATCAGATAAAAGAACATTAATCTATCTTTCAAAGCATATCAGGACACAAATAAGGAAATGAAATCATTAGCATGCACACATTGCCTCTGCTGGATCAAGTCAGCTGAGCTCAGTTGTGCCTCCTAATGCTTGCACTGCAAATCACTGCTTGATAGTCCTAACATTTAATTAATAATAATAATAATGGTAATAATATTTGCTGATGGGAAAAGGCAGGAATTGATTCACTGTGAGCAGAATTCTCGGGTTTTCTATCTTGCTTGCGCACAGGATCACAGCACTTCTACAAATGAAGCCCTTAACTCCTTTTGTCAACCACAGCCAGCAGAAAAACAGGTAAACCAACAGCAAGATCTGCCTAAAAACAGCTCAGGGAGCCTTAGCACATCATTACTGCACAAAGCAGGAAAGCAGTGGAATACAGAGGAATAAAGACAGGGAATAAACTCTTGCTCAGTATATACAGGAGATGAATAAACTGTTCTACCCCAAATAAAAGCAAGGACACTTGCTATTATCCGTAAAGCTCCATCCTGGGCTCCAGCCCTTCTTTGGGAACCCTACAGGGAGAACCCTCCCTTGGCCCCTTATCCCCCGTGGACAGTGATAAATCACTGCTCCGAGTGATAAACTCTGCTCTGGGGTCTCCAAACACAGGGAAAGCTCATTCTTCAGGCATCGTCCTGATGCAGGAGTAGCGCAAGCATCGCCAGAAGATGAAATAATACCTCAGTGCTGTTTGATCTGGATATTGACATGCAGGAAGCCGTGTCCCATGTCAGAAACGCTGCCGTTGGAAGGGCTGGGTGGTAATTACCTGAAGGTGCTTTAAAGTGAAGTTTCCTGCTGAGATTAAGCAAAGGAATGCAACAATATATGCATATTTTGATCCAGAGAAGAATAATCAGGAGACGTGAGGAAGTGAAGAAGTGCGATCCCAGTCCACCGAGCCTCAGCACGCAGAGTATGACTTTTCAAATAAGTTACTTCAAAGGTAAAATTCTGGAGAACAGAAGGCAGAGGCATCAGTGTGAATCAGACAATATCGAGGAACCAGGCTTTAACAGCTAATTAATCAAGAGCATTCCTTGCAGTATTTCCAGCACTGCACTCACAAGGACATTCAGCTTCGTGGCAGAGGATGGAGGCAGCTCTATGGCTGGATGCCCCCATGCCTCTTCCCAGTCCAGCAGCTGCTCTACACCCCATTAAGAGCCCAGCTCCCTGCAGGGAACACATCAGCACCAAGCAGCCCTCCTGCTTTGCATCACTTGCAATCTTGAATATTCGAATGTGGCGGAACACTGAAACTTTTTAAGGAGGCTTTGGGATTTTCAAGATCAAAATACGACATTCAGAGAGGGTCAAATCAAGGAGATTGCTCCTGATCAGGGCAGACTGCGAGCCAGGTGAAAGCAAGGTTCAATTCATTCAGTGCTGGTTTATCAAGGATTTGTCATAAATTGAGGAACACTCAGATGGAACCCAATAAATACGAGTTTTAATCAAGATTTGATTGCAGAGGATATAAACCAGCACAAATGTCACAGCACAGTTGCTCCACCAAGAGATCAGGATGAGCAAACTGAAGCCACGGCCCAGAATGACCCCTCTCCTGAGCAGAGCTCTCCAGCATGGAAACTGCAGGGCAGGATGGACAACAGCCCAAGAGAGAGCAGCCTCCTGGGGCTGGGGATGGAGCAGCAATAAAAGTGTACTCTGATGTGATCCAAAGGCACAGCCCAAGTTATCACAATAACATTAACTTGCCATTAGGGCTTGAAGGAATCAAAGAGGAAGATTTTGATTTCTAAAAGCAGAGTCAAAGGAAAACACAAGTGGGAAAAAATATATTCAATCCTCTTAAAGCCTGACCTAAAAAACCTTGCAGTGTAAAATATGCACTGAAATATTTATGTCAGGTTTCTATGGCTGAACACGTGTGTGTGTACACGACACATGGCCTGTGTTTCCAGAGGCTAAAGCTGATTTGCTGATATTCAACTTTGAAACAATGCTGTTCTTGCACCAAAATGTATCTTTTGGGTGCTCCTGGTCTGGAGGTGACTCGTCTCCCCCAGCACATCAGTGCAGAGAATCAGTCATAGAATCACAGAATCATTAAGGTTGGAAAGATCAATAAGATCATCAAGTCCAATCATAAACTCATGCCTATGTAGGCAATGCAGAAAGGATGGAGCTAGTGGCTGGAACTTTCACAAAGGCAAGGAAGTTTCTTCCCTTTGTACCAGCAGCAAAAAGTGAGCCCCTGTGCAGAGACAGCCAACGCTGAGGGAAATAAGGGATGAATTCAGATCTCATCCATGGCATGATGATGGGGAAAAGGCAGAGTAAAGCCCCACTGGGGATGAGTTGCTTCACGTTTTAAGAGCGTAACAGAGCTGAGTCTCTAAGGGTGTGCCTGCTGGTTTCTAAGGAACCGGCTGCTATTTATGCAGTCTGTTTACACATTCTCTTGGCTCTTTACGCAGAGGTAACACTTTATAATGTGAGCTCCCTCTCTCTTTTCCCTCATATTCACAGACATCCACTACGAGCAGAGAAGGCAAAGATTTCTGAAAGAATCCCACATAGGTATGTCTTAAAGAAAGATATTTCAGGTTGTCAGTGTGAAACTGTCATAAAACGTACAGAATTATTATTGTCTGTGCATTTCTCTCTCCTAAGAGGATTGTGTTAATTAAACAAGAAGAGATTATCAAACTTTGTCTACAGCTGATAAAATCCAACTACAAATTAAAATGCATGTTAAAGCTAATCCATCACAAACTGAAAAATTAAGCTAGCTCATTTGTAATGTTTTTAACATCCTTTGTCCTTCAGACAGTGCCTGAATACTGGAATCTGGTTTAGTATTTTGCATTTTAGTAGATGTAGAATTGAATATCCAATGCAGTTTCTAAAAGCTTGCCCTCTTTGCACATTTAAGACTATGTCAGGAATTTACATTATGTTTTACAAATGGAATTGTAAAAGAGAGGGGAAAATGTAAGCAAGCTGGGTTAAAATAAACACTTGCCTCCTTCCAGTGCCAATGAGTTTTGAAAAGTTTCCTCTCATTACTACATACCTCTCCATGATTCACTGCAGCAGAAAGCCAAAATGCCACCAAAGAAAGGCCTTTTCCTTTGTTATTGTTGGAACAAGCAGGAACAAGGAGTTCTAGAAATTCAGAGGGAGATCCGATGGTTCCCAGCCCTGCTTGCACGTATGAGTCATTCCAGCTGTGATTAGCCACATCAAAATGAGGAGGGAGCTGGTCCAAAGTGGCACACCCCAACCAAGGCCCTGCTAAAGAAGGACTTGAAACTCAGGAGTGCTAAACTAAAGCACTGCATCTTCAGAAACTCCTCTGATGCTAATAACTAAAGAGCGCTTTCTTCTGGCACAAGGCCAGCGCAGTCAGAAATGGTGTTGGGTCTGAGGGTGACAATAGCTAAAGGGCAACGAAACTGATCTGAAAAGATAACAGAGAGGCTGTGCAATCTGGAAGAAAAATCACAGCTCTCAGCTGCAGGACGCCGGGTCTCTTCCTCGGTCTGCTGCTCGCTCACGTTGTAATCCTCAGACAATCACAGCCCCTTTTTCCTGCAGGTCCTTTTTCTATTCTCATTACTTGACATTTTGAACCTGTCTTGAATAGGGTTTTGGCTTCACTACGGCTTGGTGATGTTGAATGTTAATCTTGGTAGTGACCTTTAGGGCTTATGATGATTCAAATAATAATAAAGCGAGGGGGAAAAAAAAGTACGTGGTGTCTTTCAATATAATATTCTCATACCTTTTAAAGCAACTGTTTAAAGGACTTGCTCATTGCTGAGGTATTTATTGCTTTAGTTTCTGTTTTTGAAGGATATCACAACTCTGCTGAGTCACAATTACCAAAAGCACAGCTTTCTCCTCCCAAATTGAGAACACAGAAAGCAGACGCCTTAGAAAATCCAAGTCTGGCAGAAAGAAGGGATCATGGGTATAACATATTTGCCCATAAGTCACAATCTTCATTCACCACATAACAATCAAGCACTGCTTTTGTTCTTTCCCCCTCCTCTCCTGACCTGAGTACGTTCTGTGGTCACATCCTCCCCCAGCAGGCTCCAACCTGCAAATGTGAGGTCTGGAGATGCCTTCACTCTGCACCTTTGCTGCTGCAGTCCCTTCACCTCTGCCTTCACCTCTGGACCTGGGACACTCCTGCAAGCTTCAGAAACACCCACTAAGTCATGCATCTAGCAAACCAAGGCAGGTTTGTTCAAAAGCTTGGGCCAGGTTTGAGCTCTGTTTACACAGGAATCTTTTTAGACCGTCTCTGTTCATCCTACATCGGGGGGAACTGTGCCATTGGCCATACACAGGGAGCCAACTTCTCCCACTACAGCCATGCGTTGACCCAGCATGACCAAGGCACAGCTGGCTGATGTCTTGTCTCAAAAACTCACAGCTTGAGTTCAGCTGATTTGTTAAGACCTGCTCTATGTCCCTCCAGGCAAAAATTAAGCTCCTGTTGAATGTGGAGAAGAATAGATGCATGCCTCTGGCTTTGCTCCAGCTTAAAGCGAGTTAATTCCTCATAGTTCTAAGAATCAGAATAGCAAATTCTACACACCACTGCAATTGCTTTGACCTTGCATTATGATTTGTGCTGGAGTAAGGTCCATTTAGAGTACAAAGCACAAGGGTAGTATTTATTTAACTGATTATGCTGCATTCTTGTCTTATGAATCACCCTCCACAGATGGTACTTATGCTATGTCCTACTTTCTCATTTGACAAACGACTGCTCTAAGACTCTCATATATTGGCTCTAGCACGAATGTAACTGCGTTGAATGCAACAGATTTATTTTTTATTTATATTGGTGTCAACAAAGTTGGACACAGAGCCTGTAAAAGTAAAAAAGTGCCCCAAATATCAGTAGAATTCAATATAGCACATTCATTATTTATAAAATGATTGTTTCTGTTAAAGAATATTATTGATATTGTTATTTTGTGAGTTTTCCACATGTACAACTGGTACATGCAACTGTACATAGTCAATACTGCTTGAGATTAATAAGACTGGTAGAAGGCTTTTCAATCAATATATTCTCTCCAAAGAATATGCAACAGTGCGTATGGAGGAATTGATTCTGTTTTCACAGAGGTGTAAATAAAAAACAGTTCTTATGAGTGGAAGGAATTGTAAACGCAGGAAACAAGAAGGCCGTATGTGATGTAAAGATTAACATATATTTTAAATGCAACTTCGTGGCACTTTGGAGGCCATTTCTGGATTGTAGTAATTATATATTCAATAAAAAGCAGCTTTCAGATATAGAACCATGAATTGCTTCTAGTGAAAAAGGAAAAAAGATTTCTTTTACCCAGAGATGGGTTTGTCAGCTTACTCTTGCAAACCCTTTCTCTCTCAGGGAGAGCCAGTGAATAGCACAACCAGGAGCAGAATCCAGTGAGAACTAGCTGTGCAAAGACTATATGTTCCCATCCCATGGAAAAAAAGAGGCTTTAGAACTCATCACATGTATCATGTGAATTTAAGGATGTCATTTATTCCTCCAGCCACATAGTTTTGGGGAGCTATTGCAAGGTAATAAGTTGGGGCTTAGGCAACTTTGGAGAAGGAGACTGTTAAGTGAAATGGAAAGTATATTGCAGTCCTTCAGTGGAGGAGGTGCCATCTCTGATGGGCTGCTGGATCCGTGTCCTGGACACTGAAGGGAATCGACAGCCTGGTGGCACTTTATCCCAGGTATTTGTGGCATCCTGGCCAAGCTACAATTTGAATAATTGCATCCTTCCCACCTCGGCTGTTCTTATATTTTCAATCAGATTTAATATTCTTCATATCCTGTCCAAAACAACTCTGTGCCATAAAAATAGCTATATAGTTTTGTTTTTTTTTTTTTAACACAAGTGGCTGTTTTTCAGCTGCAGCCCAGGGCTTCTTGCAGATGCAAAAAATATACAAGTAGGGCCTCCTAGCTATATTCTCTTTTCACATCACCTGTAACACCCAATCTTCATGCATTAACTCAGGACATCATTAGTTTTTCCTATTGCGTGACCAGAACCAAAATAACTCAGGGCCTTCTTGCTTGGCACCTTGTGAATGCATGGTGACAGTCCTGGCTGGGAAGTATTTGCACCCTAACTGCCCAGCACAGTCCACGTACAACCAATGCCCAACAGCAGCAGAGACTCTTGGCCAAGGCCATCCACAGCTCCCCATCATGAGGCAGCCTGCAGACCTCCCTGCTGCTCAAGTTCGTGTAACAGAGACCAAGTGGGGATCTGTTCGTGTAACTTTTCCCTTTGACTGGTTAATATCTCCATAAGTTGAATTTGAGTGCAAACTTATTTTGCCTTTTCATGATATTTAGAATCATAAAATTGTTTGAGTTGGAAGGGAGACCTAAATGTCATCCAGTCCAACTCCCTGCAGTGAACAGGGACACCTACAGCTCCATCAGGTGCTCAGAGTCCCTCCCAGTCTAACTTTGAATGGGATGGGGCATTTACCACCTCTCTGGGAAACCTGTGCCAGTGCCTCACTACCTTTATTGTAAAAACCTTTTTCCTTATATCCAAAGTTTAGTTCATCTTTCTTTAACAAGTCACTGAAGCCCTTTTTTTTTTTGTTAATACTTATGTATTTTTAAAGTACATTTTATTTGAAATGATGCAGAGCAACTGCTATAATAGCATGGCTGTTTAAAGCTGGATTGCTCTGCGCCTTCTCTTGGTGCTTGCCTGGAATGAGCTCCTTCGTCAGGGGTTAAGGCTGCAGTGAATTTGGCAATGAACTGAAAGCCTTGGGAGTCCCTCCAGAGACAGGATGCCATCTAGAATTTGGATTCCTGTCATTGTGAGCCTGCCTGCTGGGATGGAGACTGAGTCCCTGCCCAGAGCGTCTTTCAGCAAAGGGAGACAAGCATCACAGCAGAGGCAAAAAGCCCCAGGACTTCCAGTGATCACACCATACATAGCTTTGCTTTGTGTCCTTTCCCTTCCCTCATTTTTTTTCCCTTCAAGGATGGGTCAGAGCAAATGAGCTTCCCAGCAGCAGCGTGAGCTGAGAAGGAATTTTGAAGGAGAGGAGGATGGCAAACTTGCAGGGAGAGCAACTCCCAGCTTGGGGTGTAGAGAGGGGCATAGAAAAACTCGGGCTGTTGCAAGGGCAGATGAAGGAGAGTAATAGAAAATCCTTATAAGCAGACCCTGCAGTCTGGAGAACGCTCTAGAAGCACTCAGAATGGGCTTTGCTTGACTTGAGACAACACAGCTCATACTAAGAGTGCTACGCAATTAAGATTAAGTTTCTGACTCCACCAGAAGCATATTTACCCTATGTATCAGACATCAGTATGGAATACGATACAGCAATAAAGTATAAGGCTCACTTTTAGGATGGAAAGTATTATTATTTACACCAAAATATAATAATGATCACCTGGTTGAATTCAAATACATGACAGTATCTTCTTGAGTGGTGACCTTCAAAAACAAAGGAAAAATGCGATGGGCATTCAGGATTAAGAATCTAACCAGTTCCAGTTAGCAAATAGGAGAGCATAGCTCATGTAAGCCACAGCTCCAGATGAGGAACAGTGATAGCTCGGGGGAAAGACATTTCCTGCTTGAGGACTTGACTCTAGAAACTGTCAGGAGATCATTTCTTGATGCATTTCACAAACCTTGATGCATACAGAGAGGCAAAATTCCCACTCTAAAGACTGCTGGCTGCAGTACGGCCCTAACACTGCTGTAACCATGCTGCAATGACTGGTATTCAAATAAATTGTCAGCTCCTTTCTGCAGCCACTATTACCCTTTCTGTGCATGAAAAGTTAATGGATGTTTCATTTCATCTGCTGCTTGTGGAAGTGAAGTGATCTTGAATGTGCCATACTCACAGCTTGAGGAGTAATGGTAAAATACAACTTGCATGCTTAAGCTTGGTCTATATTTGAATTTTTGCTAGCCCAGCTCTGCCACTTAAGAGCGTGAGAGAAAAAAATATCACACCTTCTAGCTAATGTAACAGTGATGTATGAAAGTCCTCATATATATTTTGCCAAAACCTCTTGAAAATCTGGTTTAATTTATCAGCAAAGAACTTTATTTTTGCTGGAATCTATTTCTTGCTACAGAAGATTGACGTTGGAACTCTATCAACATGACTATGAAGACAACCTTAAGTAGTCAGCAGCTCTGCAGCACTGCAGAAACCTATGAGCCATGCTCCCAGCTTTGCTGTCTCCTTGCCAGTCCTTTTCCCCAAATCTTAGTTTGCCTTCCACAGATGCATCTCACTTTCTTTAATTTGTTTTGCAGAGCAGCCCCACGGCTTGAAGATGGGCTTGTTGTTAGATGAAGCTATACTGGGAGACGCAAGCTTAATGTATTCAAAATGCTACTGGGTGTTGTGTCCACAGGAACAAAGCAGAGCTTACCCAATAGGACTTGCTAATGAGATGTAAGTGGAAAGCCCAGCAGAGTGCTCCCTAAGCAAACTGCAAAAAATAGAAATCATGATGACATCTCTGCCTTTCCTCCAAACAAAAGAATTTGTCAGATTAAAAATACATATAGCTTTCATCTTTAAAAGGTGAATGAAGAATAAGATTGACACAGAGCCAGTGGTGAAAAGAGCAGGGTTTGGTGTATGCCAGTGATTTGTGTATGTGTAAAAATAAATGTTGAATCTAAGTGTGTTGTGAGTGTCTGAAAGTGAGAGAAAGCAAAATAAATCAGTGTAGTTCTGAAAAGCTGAGGCTGGTTCTCACCCATTCTGGGGTAATTTTCAGCAGCTGAAGGCTCCTGAGAAGGGCACTCAGGGGGTTTTCCAGGCATTTCTGATATCTGCTTGGCAGCTGCCTCCCTTCAGAAAAAAGCATCTGTGACAGCAAAGGGGAAGGACATCTCCCAGGCAAGTAGAAGTCCACTTTGCAGCACAGCTTAGAATGACAGCTGGGAGATTTTGAACTCGGTGTACTTGGTGAGAAACCAAAACAAAGGAGATGAGGGCAGAGAGCTGCTTCTCAAGGAGATCTGCCCTTGTCTGTACAAAATGCTGCTGTCCAAGACAGCGTGATCTGCCTTGGTCATACCCAGTCACCAATGATGAATGCATGTTTGTAGGTGGATGGGTTAAAGTTATCCTCCTTTATGTCATTCGTCTATTGCTGCTGTGATTATAGGAGACATCATGGTTTGTGCATCTGGTGCATCTTTGCAGCTCTACCACTGTCAGTGTTCATGTGTTTCCACCCAGAGCAGAAGATTCACTTTTGGGCTGTTGCTGTAGTGCATCAGCTGAGGTGCACAAGAAAGGGGGACACATGCAGAAAAAAGGCTGATGAAGGCAAGAAATGATCACAGAATCAGAATGTCTTTGATTGGAGGGGACATCAAAGATCATCTAATTCCAACCCCCGGCCACGGGCTGGTTGCCACCCACTGTTGGTACAACCCATTGATGGTGATGCCCACCAACCAATGCCCACTTCCAGCTCACAAAACAAAAACCAGAAAGAAGTCTGTTCCTTTCCATAATTCCATTTAACTAAAGTTCAATTGTCTAGAGGGGAAATCTCCTGCTCTTTTGTTCTCTGGTCCAATTATTTTAATAAACAAATCCTCTGGAGCAAATTCATAAAAATAAATAGATAAAAAATACTCTTTGGTGAGTAGATGAAATGACTGTCAAAGCGAGGAAACAACAAGAGAGCCACAGAAGAGCAACGCAAACATTATCAGGGAGAAACCGATCAAACAAGGTTCCCAAGGGATTTTAAATGCCACGCTCCACTTTGAATGCACATGTCTCACCAATAAAGCCCTATCACACTCCTTTCTCACAGCATGAGGAAGGCAAAGGTCTAGTTAAATCTCTGCTCAAATAGGAATTTTAAAGATAAAGACCTACTCCCATTAAATATCCACGTAAAAGCACGCAGATTCATGCACATACTGAATACTTCCCAGCCTTACTAGCATTCTCCTTTCTTTTTAGGATAACGGAACACTAATTGAAGGCTTGACTTATAACTAGACTTTGATGAATTTCGGTTCCCTCACCACTGACAATGTGACCTCGAGTCTGACAAATCTGTCTCTGCAAGCAGCTTCTGGAATTTTATACGTAAAAAATGTTAAGCTCATTTGAACTGCTGCCTTTCATAATGCATTTTATTTAAAGATGCTTTTAAGTTCTTGAGGAATTTTCTTTGCAGATAGGGAAAGAAACCTTTTTGAGCTGAAATGAATTTTCTTTTTTTTTTTTACCTTTCTGCTTGCAAAAAACCACAAAACCCACTGAAAACAAGCGAAAAACAAAAATGCACAATGCAAACCAAATTGTATATATATGTATATTCACTTGGGCTATTCAGGAATACTCAATTGCAAGAAAATCAATAATAAATGGTTGTTTTTATTTTATTAATGATGCCTGTCATTTCTAAGATCACATCTGAGCAAGACAGTAGGGACTTCTCCCTGCTGAGTTTCCTTTCTGCCCTTTCTCTCCAGCAACCGCTTGCCCTCTCCTGTATGTAAATAATGGGACCAGCTTTCCTGCTGCTCTGATGAATTAGCCCTCTGTCACACATTGGGTAGTATCACATGCAGGATGGAACCAGTTAGGACATTAATTACTGATGTCAGATCTGTAATTATCAGTGGTGCTTGCCGGTGTACTGCAATGCACAGCATACAATTATCTTTGAGAGGAAGAAAATAAAGGCAGAACTAGAATTCTAGAACAGCCAAATTTCAATTGAAATTAAAATTTCCACTTTAGCCAACTGTCCTAGTCCTGCTTCTCACATGAAGTGTCCTGAGGGTGATGTCAGGATCTCTTCCCAGTGCTTCCCTTCTCACTTCCTTCTGTTCATTTCTAAGCTAGGTCACTCTTTTCAGCTTGAGAAAAACCCCAAGGACATGGCAATTTCCCTTGGCTCCTGATCTGCTGGGCTGTGGGAGTAAGCCAAGGAGGCTCATGCAGAATTTTTGGTGAGAAAATCTCCCCATTCCCTTCCCCCCTGGTACTTCCTCATGGAGAGAACTGCAGAGCTGAAGGCAGAGGGAGCCTTTGCTACAATGATTAATTCAGGTTTAGAGACTCCTTTTTTTCTCAGTGCTGTCACAGACAGTCCCGCAGGCCAGCGTGCATCACACCAAGCAGTGGGAGAGGCCAGCAGAAGGGAAACCTCTGGCACTGTGTGCACAGCTCAGCACATCTTGGCCACCCGAAAGCAATGGGATGGCACGGGATGCTTCACAGCAGTGAGCATTTAGAGCAGTGGGCAGACAGAGGAATATTATAATCCCAGAGAAACCTCCAGTCCTGATGAAGTCGCAGTACATGTGCCAAAAAGTTTTGCACCAGTGTTGCTGAAGGTTCAGAAATGTTGGACCAACGCTAAGGATTGTGCTAAGGATAATGCACAAGGAATCACAGAATCATTTGAGCTGGAAAGGACTCTTAAATGTCATTTAGCCCAGCTCCCCTGCCATTAACAGGGACACCTATGGTCAGGTGCTCAGAGTGCCATCCAGCCTGACCTGGAGTTGTGTCCAGGAACGAGGTTTCTACCACCTCTCCTCTCTTTTTGTTTGAAACATTTCTCCTTGTCCTATCAAAACAAACCTTGCTAAAGAGTCTGTCCCCTTCTCCCTTAAAGCCCTCCTTCAGGTACTGAAAGGTCACTCCTAATTCCACATGATTTTTAATCCATTAAGCACTCACATCATCTTTAAGTATACTTGAAAAATACACATTGCATGAACATTGATGGCAAGCTGCTACATCTATTTTAAAGCTAAGTGTTCTTAGCTGATCACAAAGTGATCAGAACAATTTTTGCAAGGTAAAATAAAATACTTGGTCAATTGATAATCCATGGATGTGTCAAACGTAGCATTTATAAAGAAGGCAAAATAAGAGCTTACATATAAATTAAAAAAAAATATTTTAAATGATACATACGAACAATGAAACTGTGTTTTGAACAGCACCTCCCTTTGTGCTTTTTTGAAGCTCAAGAATAACAAGAGCAACCAAAGTCTAAAAAAATAGAAGAATTTGTTCTGAGTGAAAAACTATTTGCTGCAGAATTATTTTTGCTTAGTCTTTCGGTGGAAAATTTTCACACCCTGCCCATGTAGCATGTCCCTCCCCTCTCTGAGCCTTATTCTCCTTCCCATTTTTCAGGTGAACCTGTGATTCAAAACATGAAAAAAAAAATAAAAAAAAAAATCAATTATCCATTTTTTCCCCACTTCTCTAACAAGAATCACTTGTGTGACAAAATACCTGCAAAGCGTAACCGTGAATTTTGTCGTGTACCACACACACTTGGTCGATTGAGTAACAACTACGTGCTCTTAAAAATCAATCTATATTTATCACGTTCTCTAACCATTCTGAACAAAAAATGGGACATTTTTATAATTTGTTATGATCCAGAATGTGTGTGTATGTGTGTGTGTGTGTGTGTGTGTGTGTGTGCCGGAAAACATTTTGACCACAAATGGAGCTGATTATCGATATAATTATGCTGCAATCACACCGGAGAAAAGTATCCAGTAAATCAAATCCAACTGTCCACCCACTTGCAGAGAAGAGACTAAAACCTGTCAAATCAGGAAAGGAGGAACAGGTGGCCTCATTTGCAAAAAAAGGCTGTGCCTCGCACCATCGAGTGCCGTACATCAATACTCACAGTCATACACACATTTATTAAATACAGAATATCACTGCTTTGTGTGCAGCACATTAAATATGCTTCTGGTTCTCACAACGATATAAAATCTGACACGCAGGTCTCTTAATACACCAAGCAAATAACCTGGGACTTCCTAAGTGCTGCTATAAGTTTTTGGCTTTTTAATTTTTTAAATTGGGTCTGACAGCAGCGGGCGGCTTGCTGCAATGGCTCTGCCTTGGCTGCATCTGGTCTGTCAGTGCATGGGAGGCTCCTCCAGTGGTGACACAGCCTCAAGTTGTGTCAGGGGATGTTCAAGTTGGATATTAGGAAAGAATTCTTCTCAAAAAGAGAAGTGGTTGGGCAATGGGCACTGCCCAGGGAGGTGGTGGAATCACTGATTCTGGAGCTGTTCAAGAACCGTGCAGATGTGGTACTAAGGGATATGGTTTAGTGGGCAATTTTGGTGGTAGGTGGACAGTTGGACTAGATGAACCTAGAGGTCTGCTCCAACCTTAATGATTTTATTCTATTTTATTCTATCCTTTCTTCCCAACCAGGGGAACAGCTCCATTTCTAGATACTACCATCCAGTTAGACCTCATACATGCTAGGTCTCAAGAAAGCTCTGTTGTCTCTCCTTCCCTCCCAGGTGGCCTTGATCTTTTGGAAATTTTGAATATACGAGTTCCCTTCATCCTCTCTGATCTTCTGACATAGTGGGCATCAGATGGTATTGGTGAGTAGGGAGAAATATCAGATTCCTTTGAGCAGGCCATTAAGGACAGAAGTTGTAGGATGTATTTTTATCCAGTTCTGTGGCTCTTTTTATGTAAGAATCCAGAGCCACTGAGTGATCTAACCACAGTTCTTTATCTCCCTGTGGTCATAGTACAGCCAATCACCCAAGAAAGACTGAAAGAGTAGCCAGCATCACAAAGCAGAGGGCACTAATTAAGCCTAAATCTCGTGAAAGCTACCATCAGTTGCAGGTTGGATATTAGGAAAAAATTATTATCTGAAAGAATGGTGGGGTATTGGAGCAGCCTGTGTAGGAAGGGGACTGTCCCTGGATACCTTCTTGCAAAGGGTAGATGTGCCACTGAGGGACATGGGTTAGTGTGCACAGTAGGGATGGGTTGGTGGTTGGACTCGATGATCTTAGAGGCTTTTCCCAACCTTAGTGACTCTGTGACTCTATGAATTCAGGCCTTATATCGGAAGGAGAAAGCAGATAGGGCACATGTCAATCAACCTATTTTGGCGAGAAACAAATAATCAGTGGTGACAGGTGAAGGAAAACACTGTCATGAATTGAGATGCAGGGAGCTGCATTCACCTTCTCACACAAGACTGATCTCTAAGCAGTGGGTATTGTAATGACCAAACTATGAATCTTCAAACTCAAGGTTAATTCCCATTTTCAGTAATGGATGGGAAAAGCCAAAAATCCATCAAAACCACAAATAGGAATAAAATACCTCTGAAAGCAAATGTCTCAAGAAAGTACTAGGTATTACATTAAATTCAGGTGTGACAAATGCTGTGAGCTCTCAAGATTCAAGTATGCTCTTTCCAGGGTTACCCAGAGGAAAAGATGAAAATAGCTGAGATGTGTTAGAAGAGAGGTTACGGCAGCTGCCCTCTGACAGAAGCTTCTGAAAGACTCCAGTCACAGAGATGTCCCTTATTGCGTGGTATCTGAAGGGGGAAAAGTTTAGGATTTAATAGTACAGAGCATACAACACAGTTTAGGATACATAGGAAATGAAGTTCTGAACCCAAGCACTAAATAATAAGATGGAATTTTAAATGCTATTTAAAGTCACTAACTCCCTGGTGGTTGCTGATCTTGTCTTTGGATTTGTTTCACAAGAATAAAACAACTGTGTTCATGTCTTGGTACCCAGGTTGTAACCCCAGAGACCTATAGAGACATGGCAAATCTGGTATGGCTGCATATTCCTTATATCCAGGGCTGAAAGAACACTTTTCCTTCCAAGGTGGAAAACTCCAGGGGAAAATTCTCTATAAAAAGGTTTAAAAAACTATCTGAAGGGCAAAGAAAATATTTGCCTTGACAATTATTTTTAATTGATTTGTGTGTTTTCAGTGGACACAAGCTGATTTGGGAGAGAGACAACTTGCAAAATATTCTTGGTTAGTAGCAACATACACTTCACAGTTTAATCTGTAAACTGCTTCTCATAATATCCTGTAATGGCTTTCTCCTCTCACTAACATAGCAGGCAGTTGCCCGCGTAAATCCCACATGAGATAGGTGACCCCTTTATGACACAGCACATACAGAAGATGAGAGGGATCCTGCTTCACTCATAAAATGATTCTCCCCTAATAGCCTACAATTTGTAGCTCTCATAAAAACACCTTAACCATATTTTGTAGGCAGCGGCACAATTCTGAGCTTGAAGGTTGAAGAGCTGCACGCATCCATTCCTGCAGCTGGACTGCCAACAGAAGTTGGTAACTCACAGCACACTACCACCAAATGGCACTGAGAAATAAGAAGCCCGAGCACGAAGGCAGGGGCCTCCTGGATCCCGTAGAGTTATGTGCCACAGGCCTTTGCAGCACTGGGGGATGTCGA